TTTGAGACACATCTTATGCTTTCATTTCCTGCCGCTTTATTTCAGGGGAAATTCAGCTGAAGGACACATTCGTCACATGTCTTTGCTATGCTAGGTGGAACAGAACCTCTAAAGGGCCACAGATCGTCTTATCTATCACAGCCTTTACATCTTGCAACAAAAATTAATATAAAATCTCTTTTTAGAGTGTTTTTCTCTTTTGAAAGCTAAAAGCTTTTAAAAATATAAAGAAAACGGGTTTAGCATTATTACATACGATGGCCACAGACGGCAGCCTCAGTGTTTGGCTTTCCAGTGTTTGAACTGTTTTTGTTTGTTTTCCTGTTTTTTGTTTCTCAAACACGATCAGTTTTATCAGGGATGAGCTGCTGAACATTCGGCAGAACACACCACAAAATCTTCTACCAGATTTTGTTTATTCGGACGTTTTGCTGAACGCTGTAGTCGGCGGAGCTGCTGCGCTGATCAAATGCTTCAGGACGCGCAGATGGGGGAAGAGAGCTGGCGTGCTCGTGAAGCTCAGGAAGCGCGGATTCAGAACGCCGTTGCCGAGCATCCAAATGGTGAATCTCCGCTCTCTACCCAACAAAACGGACGAACTTCTTCTGCTCTCCCAGACAAATAAGGATGTTTCACATTCTGCTGCTCTGTGTTTCACGGAAACCTGGCTGAATGACTCCATTCCGGACAGCAAGTTGCGTCTGCCAGGCTTTCAGCTGTTCAGAGCAGATCGCGACGCAGAATCAACGGGGAAATCGCGCGGCGGCGGGACATGTTTTTACATCAACAAAAGGTGGTGTACAGATGTTACAGCGTTAAAGAAGATGTGCTGTTCCGAACTAGAAGTGCTTTTCGAAACCCAAGATAACAGGACTTAATGACTACAGACCTGTGGCCCTAACGTCTGTGTTCATGAAGACATTTGAGAGGTTGGTGTTGGCTTTTCTGAAGGACATTACTGGACCCTTACTAGACCCCCTACAGTTTGCTTACCGAGCAAACAGGTCCGTGGATGATGCAGTCAATATGGGACTGCACTTCATCCTGCAACATCTGGACAAAACAGGGACTTATGTGAGGATCCTGTTTGTGGACTTTAGCTCCGCTTTCAACACCATCATCCCAACACTCCTCCAGACCAAACTAACCCAGCTCTCTGTCCCTAGCTCTATCTGTCAATGGATCACCAGCTTTCTGACAGATAGGCAACAGCTAGTGAGAATTGGTAAATTCACATCCAACAACCGCACCACCAGCACTGGCACCCCTCAGGGTTGCGTCCTCTCCCCACTGCTCTTCTCCCTCTACACCAATGTGCAATAACCTTATAATTATTTATCCCCCTAAACCCTAGTACATCCCTACAACATATTTTTTTTATTCTATTCCTATTCCATCTATACCACACCTGTACATACAATTTATTCTTTTTTTTTGTGGTTTATATTTATGCATGTGTATTTTATTCACATCTCATTTTTATTATCTGTGTGTTGTTGTTGTCTCCGTGTACTGGAAGCTTGTGACACTATAACAAATTCCTTGTATGTGCAAACATACTTGGCAATAAAGCTCTTTCTGATTCTGAAAATATCATGGAAAAACATCTGCCTCACAAGAACCCACCAACTGAGGTGCTGGATTCCTGTCGTTCTCCAACCCCTGACATCAGGCAAAGGCGAGCTATTTATGGCTGTGCTTGAAACATTAGGTCCAGCTATGCTGCTCACAGCCAGCTTCTATTGGCATCAGCCCACACTGAGGATTCAAACATTTATGAGTAATAAAAGTTCTTAAGACAAGACGGCTCTTCAAAGCTTTATCTATAATGATAAAGGTTAAATAATCCCACAGACTGGATGTTTTTGAGGGCAGATATAACTAGGGCAAAAACAATAAAGTAGATGGAACAATTCCTGGAAACATGATTGGTGGACAGTTTATTCTAGCTAAGCACCCTTGCACATTCCATGGACATTTTCCACCTTGGTGTGAAGAAATTATCGCTTTATGTACCATATTCACCTTGTTTACAGAACACAATGCAAGCATTTACAATGCCACAAAAAAGCATTTCTTAAAACCACTGGAAGGCCCACAGAAAATTTTACTGTGTAACATTACAGTAATAAAAATACTGACAAGTTCAAAAAGACATTTTATGGTATGAAGAAAATAGCATTTGAAGAAAATCTCAAATATCTTGGGTCAAAAAGGGAAAAAAATATGAACAGCATGTGCAACATCTAAGTTCGTAATTATCGAATAAAATCAGAAAACAGATATATAAAATGTATTCAAATTTTTTTATCTAAAATTTGTTCACTTACAAATATTTTGGACCAAATATATGACTGCAAAACATTTTTATTTATTATGGCTAATACTTCTCTCTCTCAAAAAAAAAAAAAAGACAAAAAGTCACACTAATGGTATTTTCACTAGGGATGCACCGATACCGATACTGAGCTCCTGTACTCGTACGGTTAAAATGCCCCGATATCACACACACAGCATGTGATAAGTGCCATATTCAGACAAAGAAACACCGACAACAGACAGCAGAATGGAGTTATTAGAGATTAAGGATATCTACAAATATACTGTTAAACATTCAGTATTAACACCTGTATAACTGATGTGCGCGAGCTGATTAGCAAAGCTTGCTGAGTGGATTGAGCTTGCGACGGCGCAGATGCGCGAGCTTGTCGAGTGAATATACCTTTCTCACAGACATCACTAGAAAGTTTGTAGTTCGGTCGGATATGTCAAAAACAATTAAGTAAAACAATGCTCAAGTTACTTAACGGTAAGGAGCGAGAGTGAGAGAGAGCGCACTTCTGTTGTGTGATCTTTGATGTTCAGTCAATTACTGTAGCACACGCATCATTTGGATTAAAAACTAAATCGTAAAAATAAGACCATTTATAGGGGCATTCACTATAAACAATTTATTTTCAACCTTAGGCATACACGACTTTCTGGCGAAAGTGAATCTAGCAGCCTGTGTGAAATGCGCTAGGCTGTACTGTACTTGTCCCTCTCATTCTGCATCAGTACAAATACGTGCACGCGTTGCATGCGTTTTGCTTGCTCGAGTGTTTCTGCATTATATGAGTGGCTTTGGAATATAAATCGCAGCACGTTTCGGCACAATTTAAAATATACTCTTTTAACACCAAACAAAACATTTTCTTTGTACATGCTAATAAATAAATCAAAGTTAAAAGAGAAAATGTTGGTCCATTAATGTCGGGAGAACTACTTCCTTAAACTGTTGAAACATATAACAATTTATTATTTAACTTAATATCTTATTTTGTCAAATCCAATATGGCAATATTTCAATATTCTGTGCTTCATATGCAATATAAACAGACCTATAATTAAACCAACATAAATTGGCTTTGTTTGCATTCAGCATATTGCACGCCACCTCTTCAATTATTTGAATTATGATATGCTTTCACATTACAGCCATTCTGAAGGCATATACATTCAGATCATCTACCACTTTTCTTCTGAAAAGTCTTAAAATTAGTTATTGCATGAAGAATAAGGTAAACAGTAGCACATAGAATGGCAAAGCAGGGCTCGCAAAATCTCTAGCCCGACGTCCCAGGGCTATTGTGTTTTCCAGTCGGGCTACCAAAATGCATCAACGTCCTGCCCGATGGGCTATCTTGAACAGTGATATAAAATTCCTTCCTTGATTTGCGTTGTTCACTAGCTTGTAGGGGTAAAACGGATCATAGTTGATCATTTGCACATGTTTCTAAGTCTTGCCTAAACATTCAAGTGTTTTAAACCAATCACGCGCATTCGGAGCTGCGCGCACAGAGAGCCGCGTTTCAGACAATGCGTGTACACAGAATTTATTCCTCTTTCGCATATCCTTGCATCTGAATGAACACATACACACAAAATTTACTCAAAATAACTGTCTCCGCAAGTATTCTCGTAAACACAGTCGGTTACATCTTACGTAAACAGTGGTGAAGGAAATCTCAAGCGCATCATTATATTGGATCCGTGCATTCGGTCTTAAAGGGGCAGCAGCCTATAAATACCTGCTGTTCCATAAGCGCCACCTGCTGTCAGAGAGTGACATTTGCATCTAAAATGCATCAACGTCCTGCCCGATGGGCTATCTTGAACAGTGATATAAAATTCCTTCCTTGATTTGCGTTGTTCACTAGCTTGTAGGGGTAAAACGGATCATAGTTGATCATTTGCACATGTTTCTAAGTCTTGCCTAAACATTCAAGTGTTTTAAACCAATCACGCGCATTCGGAGCTGCGCGCACAGAGAGCCGCGTTTCAGACAATGCGTGTACACAGAATTTATTCCTCTTTCGCATATCCTTGCATCTGAATGAACACATACACACAAAATTTACTCAAAATAACTGTCTCCGCAAGTATTCTCGTAAACACAGTCGGTTACATCTTACGTAAACAGTGGTGAAGGAAATCTCAAGCGCATCATTATATTGGATCCGTGCATTCGGTCTTAAAGGGGCAGCAGCCTAAAAATACCTGCTGTTCCATAAGCGCCACCTGCTGTCAGAGAGTGACATTTGCATCTCATTCACAAAGCTAAAATCAGACCATTCTGTTTTTGCTTCAAATTTCGAAATTATATAATCTAATTGCAATCTAAATAACATGCATTTAGCATCTTTGTTTAGATCGTGATTAAAATGTAGTCGTTGCCTCCGATTTTAAATGAAAAAAGCACAGCCAAAGCCTTAGTTTGTTTATATGAAGAAATATATCGAATTGGATTAAATATTTAATCTGATAATGAATAAAATGGTTTGTCCTGACCACAGTGCATTTTATGCAGTGAATTATTGGTTGCAGACTGCATGAAATAATAGAAAAAGGCATTTACCAATACAAAAAAAATCTAATGAATCTATTTTAAAGTTTATTTTCAAGGATATTTTGTTTTGCTTTGTATGATAAACAATTACGGTAGTGCATTGGGTTGCCACTTGATATCTAAAGTAAAATCTGAGTCCTGAACCATTTGAGAGCCGCTGGTTTAATAATCTGATAAGTAAGTGGCCCTAATGCACCACATACTTAACGTAAATGGAATGAAGTAAGAGAAGAAATAAACACACTCACTTCATACAACATTTGTGTCGGATGTGCCGACCGGAGCAGCTAAAGCTTCACGTGTGTTTAGTGAACTGAGCTTCTCATCTTCATCACTTGTTTCCTTTGTTCTCTTCTTTCTTCTACATGGATTATATTGTTTGCTGTGAAACGAGACCGGAAGAGAAGGGAAAAAACATTTAAGGTTAAAAACACTGAAGATTGACTCTGTTAAGCTATGAAAGTATTAATAATGTAACACATCACTCACTGTGTACAGACACATATGAAGACGATGAGCAGAATCAGAAAGACCAATCCTGCGACCACACATGCGATGATTATTTTCCTTCGTTCTCCTACATGATAATCAAGATCAAGATATTCGCACCTAGTGCCAATATATCCTGTTTCACATCTGTGCAAAAAAGAAAAGAAAAATCTACATTTTCATATCTGACTGGTTGAGAAAGGGACAGGCCAAAGTCTCACCTGCATGAAGGAGTGTTCTGCTCCTTTACAAAACGGCAAACACCATGGATACAGTAATGCTTGTATTCTTTTGGACACTTAGAAAAATGCCCACTCCATTTGTGCTCATCATTTGAATCTATAGATTTGAAATAGGTAAACATATCACCATTAAACACATACACATAAGATTTTTTAATATTTCTGAAAGACTCTTCCCAAGGCTGTATTTATTTGACCAAAAATAGTAAAAACAGTAATATTGTGAAGTATTATTACAATTCAAAATAACTAATAATGTTTTCTGTTTTCATAATTTATTCCTGTGATGCGCAGCTGAATTTTCAGCATCATTACTCCAGTCTTCAGTGTCATATGTGACAGAAATCATTCTAATATGCTGATTTGCTGCTCAAGAAACACTTATTATTATTATCAATGTTGAAAACAGTCGCTGCTTAATATTTTGTGGAACAATTGATACCATTTTCAGGATTCTTGGAAGAACAGAAAGCTCAAAAGATTTCACTGACACTTTAAATCAATTTAAAACATCCTTGTTCAATAAAAATGAATCTATTTAGTCATAAAAACTGGTAAGTAAAATACAGTGGGAATTCACAAATACTAAATTCTGGCCAATAGTTATGTTCATGCTATAGGCCGATATAAAACTTAAACCATAGGTCGATACACAACTAAACTATTTATATAGTCTACACTTTGTCTAAATAAATAAAAAAAATACACCAAAAACTAAAATCAGTCATTTAAAATGTCACAAGTGAATTTAGGCATCTTGCTGTATATAATGCACAACATGAAAAAAGGGATATTCACTTTGAGATTAGTTAAAGATTACATTTAACAGTGTTATCAAACCTGTATGTGTTTTTAACAATAAACTTTATGTGAATGTTAGCTAATGACAAAGGTGATCTATATGAACATACACAATAAAGATACAATATCGATCAATATAATACATGTTAAAAAAAGCTCTAACATCGGAGATAACTAAAATAATATCTATATATTGTGGGTCCTTACAATACAGAGTAACAAAACCAGGGTTGTCTGTTTACAATATTATGCATGTCATTATACAAGCCAACTGTAAACGCCAAACTCAGAGGATTGAGCAAGAAAAAAGACCGGTCTACAACCACTGAAACTTGAGCTTTGACTTCAGAATGAACTAAAAGGTGAATGGAAAAGGATCTAATTACCACCTCTGGCCACATGTAACGTGATCCGAGTTCAGTCAGAGAGGATTATCTGCTATACAGAGAAGCTAAACTTGAGCTTGGGAGCGTTATCGCTTCTTAAATAAAATTACAAGGCTTAAAAGTGTCAAAGAAGCTTGGTTATAATCATAACAGCCCAATTTTCCTCAGTGTATGCAAACGCATTTGGCAGAATTCTGTGGTGATCAAATAACACCAGCGAAAAAGTTTCATGCCATAAGAAAATCTTTTAATTGAATATCCTATTTATCTCTTCAGCAGGTGGTCAGGCTTCAAGACTTTCATGTCATGCCCAGGGGAAGCCCAGCTTTTACAACACAACAGGGGTAAACACAGTGTTACATCTCACGTCTTTCAAGTCAGTGGTAGACAAACCTCACCACAGCTTTGAAAAAACACTTTCTGCATGAGGTGAAGGCGAATTTTATGGAAACTATTGAAGACTTGGTTTGCTCATTTCACTAGGGGTGACAATGGTATTTACCTGTGCAGTTGCTGCTGTTGTCATGGTGATTGCATGGTGTCTTTGTGGTATTCCATTCAGCCTGGGAGTATTTGCATAGGACAACAGCTGAGGGCAGACAACAAACAAATCACAGTTGGCACCATGCATGTCTCCAGAACTCTGGCATTACATTGCTTTGCAGGATTCCAGGCAAATGTTATAGTGGGTTATAAAGGCCTTTTGATTACGGTTACACTTTGAAATCCCTCCCTCTATGATTAACCAATAGAGTGCCTTCTAATGTGCCAGACAGGCTTCCAGTGCTAAGAATAGAATCTTTCATAGTATTATAAAAGAAGTCTGACACACAACTGAAGCAAAGACGCACCCGCAGCTGATGTCACGAGCACATTCATAAATACAAGTACATAAAAGACGGTAAAGTTGGCAAACGGGTACTTCTACAATATGCAGTGTCGTAAAATATTATATAGCTGTTGCAAACGAACAAAACAATGGTGGACAGTACCTGTTATTATTATTATTCCCAAAGTGAACCTGCGCGTCCTGTCCATTTTGCGTTGCGCGTCAAAGCGAAGACTTCATTCCCTTCATGCTTCAGAAGTCATGTCCTTCATTTTAGAGGGATTATTTTATTGAACTACAACACTGAGTTGCTAAAAACTTTCCAGCAGCCTTCCCAAAGTTTACCTTCGGGTTTCCTCAAGTTTAGAGGAGTGACGGGTTGGATGGCGATTATTGAACCGCGTGTGGGAGGCGCTACTGAGTTATCTCCGCCTTTATGCGTGAATAAACATTTACTATGGGCTTTTACATTAGTTTAGACTAACTTATGTTTAACTTTTATTAGGCAAAGGATTCATGTTGATACATATTGCATAAAAGTCAGCGTTTCCTATAATCTCATGTGAATGTTGCCATATTAATCTATAGCTGTTGCAAACGAACAAAACAATGGTGGACAGTACCTGTTATTATTATTCCCAAAGTGAACCTGCGCGTCCTGTCCATTTTGCGTTGCGCGTCAAAGCGAAGACTTCATTCCCTTCATGCTTCAGAAGTCATGTCCTTCATTTTAGAGGGATTATTTTATTGAACTACAACACTGAGTTGCTAAAAACTTTCCAGCAGCCTTCCCAAAGTTTACCTTCGGGTTTCCTCAAGTTTAGAGGAGTGACGGGTTGGATGGCGATTATTGAACCGCGTGTGGGAGGCGCTACTGAGTTATCTCCGCCTTTATGCGTGAATAAACATTTACTATGGGCTTTTACATTAGTTTAGACTAACTTATGTTTAACTTTTATTAGGCAAAGGATTCATGTTGATACATATTGCATAAAAGTCAGCGTTTCCTATAATCTCATGTGAATGTTGCCATATTAATTAAAACATGTATTTACATACTTTATGATGCTTACATTGCTTACTTTATGATGATTACATGCTTTTGTTTTTACACACAGGAACAATAGTTTGATAGCAAATAATAACTGGCAGTTCTACTTTAAACCATCTATTGGACAACCCTGAACTTTAATACGCAAAGCCATGGAATGGCAGCAAGAGAGAGACTAAAGCACATTCAGTAAAATAAAGACTTTTATTGAGTGCAAAAAAGAAATCAATGACCCAGCATCACACAATATAATCATAACATGGAGGAGTACCATCTCTGAAACCTCGTTGAAAGAAGAAATAAAATCTTAGAATGTATGTGTCTCATGAATCATATGTTAAGTATTTTTATGATTTATTAACACATTTACAGATTTTTTAAATCCAAATGTTTCATTTTTAAATTATGATTTTTAAAGATAAATTAGTGAAATTATGGGATCAATCAGTTCCTATTTTATTATATTGACAGTCTTTTTAGCAGTAAGTAATAAAAAATGGTTTATATTGTGGAATATTGTGATTATGAATACAAAATAAAAAGGAGAAAATGCACGTCATATTTGTGTGTCCTTGGAATCAAAAAGTAAAAAAAAAAACATGGTTCACCGAGTCATTAGAAATACTTCAGTAAGGGTTGCCCAAGGGGTAGCCTACATCTCTGACTCTCCCTAAATCCCCTCAAGTTTATTTAATGAAGCTAAGAGGGCTCTGTGGACACAGCACACTGCTGGAGAGAGGATTTGTGTTCATTGGCCGTGGGATTTCTCATGGGAGATGGAGACGATGTGTGACTGGCACTCAGGCTGGGGTTGCCAGTTTGCTCTCCTCGTCGCACACAAGCCACGTATACAAGGGTCACTGCAAGCAACGACCCCTTCAGCATCTGCCATGCTCAACTTAGCACAGACACGGCAGGGCTTACTGTGAAAAAAAGCCACGTAAACTGTGATTTTCAGTAAAATGTGCTTATAAAATTTTACAGATTGATTGCATATATTTTTACAAATTTACTTTAGAATGGAAAAAGTAATAGAAATTATATATATATATATATATATATAATTTTCACCAGCCAATCATGTACATCTAAGTAAAATTATAATTATGACATTATGAGATACTACAGTACAATTACATTTAATCATTTCGTAAACACTTTTATCCAAAGTGACTTAAAAATGAGGACAGTAGAAGCAATCAAACTAACAAAAGAACAAAAACATGTAAGTGTTGTGAGTTTTTTATATAATAGATAAAAAGAATAAAAATAGAAATAGAACAGAGAGGGCTAGCGTTAGATGGTCAAGTTATTATTTTTTATAATAAATAAAAAGAACACAAGTAGATAGAATAGAAATAGAAGAAATGCTAGTGTTTGAGGGCCAAGTGTAGATGGAAGAGATGTGTTTTCAGCCATTTCTTGAAGATGGCTAAGGACTCAGCTGCTTGGATCGAGTTGCAATCATTCGATGGAGCAATTCATTCCACCAGCAGGCAACAGTTAAGGTGAAAGTCTGTGAAAGTGATTTTGTGCCTCTTTGGGAGGACACATAAGTCCGAAGCAGTGAATTTAGGTAAAGGGGTGCATAATCACAATTATGAGATAAAAAAAGTAATAGTTATGACATAAAAAGGGGGAAAATATTATAACAAAAATCATGACAATATTAATTGTGTCAAAATTATAAAATTATGACAAAAAGTCAAAATTATAAGACAGTTATAATTAGCCTACTACATAACTCAAAATTAGGAGAGAAAACAATTATGACATAAAAAAAATTATGAGATAAATTATTATGAGATAAAAGCCATAATTATGACATAAAGACTTAATTATATTAAATTGAACAAAATTGAAATTATGAATCAAAATTATGACATAAAAAGTCAACATTCTGACAATAATAACTGACAAATTGTCAAATAGTTAAATTCTCATAATTTCAACAAAGCATTTTTTTAAACGGGATTCCTTACCTACAGTGCATACAGGTTTTTGTAATGAACCTCTTCAACCTTTGGGGTATATGCCAAATAAAAGGTGAAGTATTTATCCCAAACTAAAACCTCACAACACTGAAAATCACCAACAATAAATCATGCTTGTGGTCTTAAAGGTCTGTGGTCTACATTCACACATTGTGTAATATGGCTTCCAAAATTATTCTTGGCCAATTCAGGCTCTCAACAGTGGTAAACCTCACCGCCTGGTGGGGAAAACAACCCACTGCAGGGTTTTGTCCACTTAGTTTGAGACACAAATTAGGCAATGAGCAAATAAAATGTTGATTAACTTGCTATTATTTGGAAATCTATGCAAAAGCCATTTTAAAACCCCATTAGCAAACCAACAGGTGGCTGGTTAAATAAAATTGCAGTCATTATTTCACAAAAATAGCTTCCCGTTTGAGAACAATCCATATGCAATAACAATCCTGGTGGCTTATTTTAGATGAGGCCATGCTTTTTCAAACAGTTAAAATGTTAATGTTAAATGTTTACATGACAAAACCCATATATTTAAATAAATCTAACTTTGTCCACAGATTACACAAGCAGCCAGAGTCAAAGACTATTTATCCGTACTTATACCAGCTGTTCTCTACGGTGGCAGAGAAGTGCAGAACAAATCACAATTCTGAAAACAAAATATCAAATTACAAACGCAAATGCAAGTCTAAAAAACAAAATAACAATTCAGAAAGCACAACAACAATTCAGAAAACATTCACAAACCAGACAAACCGGAAGAGGTAGGTATAGTTTGAGACAGCGCCATTGGTTTGGGATTACTCACCGCTGACTGGACGAGACATCTGTCAATCAACGTATACAGAGAAGAACCAGCCGAAGAACAGCAGAGTCATGGTAGAAAGTTCGGAGATGGTATTAAAGTAGCTCAGTTTAAATGTATTGTATGAATTGCCTTTACAATGGAATAACAAATACGGGGAGTCTATTTAGATTTAGTTAAAAGTGGCTATAGAACATCAGCTCTGGTAGTGCAGATGGATAAGCACTTGCCCATGGCTTTTTGACGCGATCGACCCGGGTTCGATCCTGCCTTTTGCCGAACTTTTTTTCCCTCCCTTTTCAAATCTCGTATCACATCGTAAAGGCATTTATTTTCAATAAAAATTAAGGAAATAATCAAAAAGTTGAACATAAATTATCGGGTAGGGTTAGGGTAGGGAGGGCTTTATTGTACCAATAAAGGTGGCATCCATTTAATAATTTAAATTAAAATGATAATTTACACTCAATACGTTATTAGTGCATACTGTTTTATAATGTACTACAATACTGAAGTGCAGATAATTACCACTATTTGCAATTGCTAATACGAGATTTGAAAAGGGAGGGAAAAAAAGCTCGGCAAAAGGCAGGATCGAACCCGGGTCGATCGCATCAAAAAGTCGATGACACGTGCTTATCCATCTGTGCCACTGGAGCTGATGATTTATAGCCACTTTTTACTAAATGTAAATATAAATCCCGTATTTTTAATTCCATAGTAAGGGCAATTCATACATTAAAACTGAGCTACTTTAATACCATCTCCGAACTTTCTACCATGACTTTCTACCTCGGCTGGTTCTTCTCTGTATACGCTGATTGACAGATGTCTCGTCCAGTCAGTGGTGAGTAATCCCAAACCAATGGCGCTGTCTCAAACTATACCTACCTTTTCCGGTTTGTCTGATTTGTCATTGTGTTTTCTGACTTGTTATAATGTTTTCTGAATTGTTATTTAGTTTTTTAGACTTGCATTTGCATTTGTAATTTATTTTGTTTTCAGAATTGTGATTTGTTCTGCACTTCTCGGCCACCGTAGTTCTCACTTAGTAACCCACATTTCAGTCCTCTAACAGACTCTCTGCTACAATCATCACGCACAGAGAGCAAAGAGTGCGAGACCTCTTATGCCTGCTCTTTGAGAGGTGTCAGGGTCAACAGGAAGGGACCCAAATGCAGAGTGAGTGAAACAAGATTTATTGAAGACACACAAGTTCACAGCACAGGGGTTGACAATCTTGGGACAGCTCCAACCAGCAGGGAAAGGTCCATTCCCTGAGGGGTAGACAGTCTGGGGCACAGTCTCAGTCGTTGGTCAAATCGGGACGGAAAGATGGGGAGAAACCCAGAGCAGAGAACAGCAGAGCATGCAAGCAGAGTGAAGGGACTCAAAGCAGAGAAGACAAAACAATGTGTGCAAACACAAGACAAACAAAGAAACATTAAACAACGACAACACAGACAAAGCTGCCAGGGCAGAGCCCTGACAGAGAGGATTCTTAAATGCCTCAATCATTTTATGATATATCTCTAAATTTAGCTGAATACGCACACAGATGTGAATCACACAGACAGAACATGACTAAGAATCAAAAGGCTTGATTGCTATAAGCGCAGAGGGCTGCATATCTGCATGAAAAATAATGAATCATTTTAACATGTCAAATAAAATGTCCTGACAAATGAGTACATTGATTAAAAGCAGTTTATTTTAACAGATGTAAAAAAGATTAAATCCAGTGCATGTTGTTCATGAAATATTAAAAGTTATTTGTGGCTACAGCTTGATATTTGTAATAAATATGAATTTTCATAAATAACAAAATGCTGATTTTATATTAAGAGACTGATTCGTTTTATTTGAGTTTGAAGTTCCCTCACATAAAATAATTTCACCGCAAAATATTTTTTCATCACACATTTTGTGTCCCTGATTCTCCAGTAAAAGCAGTCTTTATGAGAGCTCATTTGCACACCAGAGCTTGTGCTTCAATCAGAACATAGAATGCAAATGAGAACCCAGGCAGCTTGATGTGTTCTCCAGGCGGCAGCTCACATCCCTTCAACGGAGGTAGTGTCCGGTCATCCACCATCCTCAGCACTTGTCCATTCAATTTGACTGACCTAAAAGATGGACAAAAAGTGGGATTTAACAATAACAGGGTTGTTACTACAACAGTTGATGTATAACGTGTCTAATAGCTTCCAAGATTTTAGGTTAAAATGCATATGAATAAATAAGGGAAAGTGTACGTATATCTTAACTGGTCACATTTTTTTACACTTTTATACCACTTTAATTCATCACATTTCTGACTCATTTTAAACAGTTTGAACAAATTATCTAATAAAATGATTCAACGTTGACTATATTACATGCAGTCTTTCTATTAATTTGAGGTAATAAAAGTATAGTAAAGTGTAGTATAGCATCCCCCAAAACATTATTGCATTGTACAGTCCAAACATTGTGAGATCACGAGACATTACCTGGAATAAAGACTCCGTTCACCAGCCTCAGCTGATTGTAGCACAAATGCCTCAATTGTGCTGTTGGCCATATGGTCAGGCAGAATAATAGTGACTTCATTTTTGTTTAGGTTTAAGGCAAATAAGGTCACAGCACCTGGTCTATAATGTGTGCTGAAGAAGAAAAGTATACCATATGTTCAGGTAAATGTCTTCAGAAAATAATTATTGTGAACAAGAATACAAGTACCTTTTTCTGTTGGTGCAGTGAAGGTATACCCGTATTGGTTTCTTTGGTCTTGAATTCATATTAACTTCTGCTTGTAAAACCTCTGGGCCAACAAGCCTTTTGTATAGCAATGATAGCCAATAATCCTGCCGTATGTATGAAATAGTTTAAAATACAAAATGTAATGTAAAGAAAGAAAAAAAAAAATAGGATAACTGACTGGTCCAAGTTCCTGGACTGATACAGAAGTTATGTAACAAAGATCAAACACATAAGAAACACTTACTGGAAGAGGATCTAGGTTATCATCCACTAAATGGTAAGTGCCAGAACCAATTAACACCTGTCTAATGACGACATCCAAACCAAGTTTGGCAGCAAGTCCCAGTTTGTCCAGCCACCTTCGATAAACAAAACAGCTATAAATATCTAGAGTAAATAATAATAAATATTTTTTTATTTTATATATATATATATATATATATTACATTTTACAAGATTTTAATACTTTTATTCAGCAAGGATGCATTGCATTGATCAAAGGTGACAGTAAAGACATTTATAATTTTACAAAAGATTTATAATAGTTAAAATAAATACTTCATATTCAAAGAATCCTGACAAGATTTTCCACAAAAATATTAAGCACCACAATTGTTTTTAACATTGATAATAATAAATGTTTCTTGAGCACCAAATCAATATATTAGAATGATTTCTGAAAGATCATATGACTCTGAAGACTGGAGTAATGACTGATGAAAATTCAGCTTTGCCACCATAATAAATTATATTTTATAATATATTAAAATAAGAAAAACAGTAATTTTAAATTGTAATAATATTTCACAATATTACTGTTTTTACTGCAATTTTTTAATTAAATAAACGCAGACTTGGTGGGCATTAGAGACTTCTTTTAAATACATAAAAAACCACTAATCCCAAACTTTTGAACGGTAGTTTAATAAAAAAAAAAAATTGTATTTAAACTGTTGAATTCACATTCAATTATAATTACTTAAATGCAACATCATATATATATATATATATATATATATATATATATATATATATATATATATATATATATATATTTGTTTAATTAGGACAAGTAGAATATTTATGGAAACTTGTGTATCAATAACTGAGTTAAACTTTTATTTCTTTCATTGCCATTCTTATAAACTGATTTGAACACACTGGAAGTTTTAATTTATAAATCCATAAATGTTTTTTGACTTACATGAAACCAGCTACAAATGTGTCGGAGAGGCCAACAGCACCTCCACCATATGCCGAGCTTGTCTCTCCTAGCCAAACCTTCTTCCTCGGAGAAACAGATTCAACAATCTGAAGGCAGAATGTTTATCAGTTAATTTCAGTTGGTATCAGTTAATATCTGACATTTCTCACTGCTGAATCTGATCAATCTGATTGCCACAAAAGACTTTCTATTTTAATATATTGTGCAGGATTACTCTGGTACCTCGAGGACCTCGTTATTTTTTGTTGCGAGAGTATCAAGCACTTCAGGGTCAAGGAAATCCTCTAAAGACGTGTCTCGGCCATTCACATAATAGCTGTAAAGAAGAAAAACGAGAACAAGTTCAATACAAAGACTCATAAAAAGCCAATTTAATTAATTTCTGATTTTGTGAAAGGAAGGAAGTAAATCATAACTTACTGATGCCAGGTGCATGCAGTAATGGCCTTTGCTCCAGTCTCCAAAAACCTATAAAAGTGAATGTTCAACCATGTTACCTTTCTTCGATACCCAAATGCATTAGTAAGACTGATGGTGCAGACAAGAGGCATCTATGAAAGTCCATTAAAAATTAAGAACTATTTTCTCTGGACACTTACCCAGTTAACAAATCTTTGCGGTGATCTCGTGGCTGACTGACATCTGGTCCATATAGTCCTGTTGAGTGGTAGACCGCAGATTGCTGAAGGATTTGATGCAAATGGACAAAATCCTGACCGAGCTGGTATCCATCCACTCTGATTCCAGCTTTTTTCTCATAACTGTTGGGTTCTAAAACAACAGATTTAAATTCAAAACAGGTACAGTGGGGCAAAAAAGTATTTAGTCAGCCACCAATTGTGCAAGTTCTCCCACTTAAAAATATGAGAGAGGCCTGTAATTTTCATCATAGGTATACCTCAACTATGAGAGACAAAATGAGAAAAAAAAATCCAGAAAATCACATTGTAGGATTTTTAAAGAATTAATTGGTAAATTCCTCGCTAAAATAAGTATTTGGTCACCTACAAACAAGCAAGATTTCTGGCTCTCACAGACCTGTAACTTCTTCTTTAAGAGGCTCCTCTGTCCTCCACTCGTTACCTGTATTAATGGCATCTGTTTGAACTTGTTATCAGTATAAAAGACACCTGTCCACAACCTCAAACAGTCACACTCCAAACTCCACCATGGCCAAGACCAAAGAGCTGTCAAAGGACACCAGAAACAAAATTGTAGACCTGCACCAGGCCGGGAAGACTGAATCTGCAATAGGTAAGCAGCTTGGTGTGAAGAAATCAACTGTGGGAGCAATTATTAGAAAATGGAGCATTTATTTAAAATAGAAATCTTTTCTAACAATATACACTACCGTTCAAAAGGTTGGGGTCAGTAAATTATTATTCTTTCTTAAATTAAAACTTTTATTCAGCAACGATGTGTTAAATTGTTAAGAAGTGATGGCAAAGATTTATATTGTTAGAAAAGATTTATATTTTGAATAAATGCTGTTGTTTTTAACTTTTTATTCATCAAAGAATCCTGAAAAAAGTATCGGTTTCCAAAAAAATATTTTGCAGCACAACTGTCGCCAACATTGATAATTCTAATAATAAATCAGCATATTAGAATGATTTCTTAAGGATCATGTGACACTTTACACTGGAGTAATGGCTGATGGAAATTCAGCTTTGCATCACAGAAATAAAT